ATTGCTTTGATTAATAAAAAATATTTTTCATGTATTCTTTTTTTTTCGTATTGTATGTATATGTAGAGTAAAAAAAATAAAAGTAAATCAAGGACTATTAATAAAAAATTAGTCATTACACGCCTACAGATTTTTTTAAGGCGTGTATGGGAATATTGACCATGTGTGATATAAGATACATTTATCATCGTATAAAAGGACATGAAATTTAGAAGTTCGGTCTATCTTTCCCTTTCTCTATTTACTACCATAACAATGTTGGTATCGTATATCAGCTTTCTATTAACATTCAGTAAGATTGATAAATTAATTTCATTGAATTTATAAATGTTTTGATAATAGCTTACGTCACTGCTGTCGCTGTAGTACCACGATGGGAACATACACCAGCTGAACGAATGAGACTTTTGGTAAAACAAATGAATTTTGTTAAATTTATATTGAAAATTATTCCTATAGGGTCCTTTGGCTTCTGTTGGTAGTCGTGTGGAGTTTCCATGCAAAACATTGGAACCATCACCACAAGTTCCAACATCAGGTATTGTTCTATCTTTTTTGCTCTAATATATTTTCATCCTTGATAATTTTTAGTTCATGCTTTACGTGTTGCTGATATTCAAATTGTCGCTGCTTTGGGTGACAGTTTAACTGTACATTTTACCATACAAAAGAAAAGAAAATTATCTCATATTTTTTTTTATTCTAGGCAGCCAATGGTGCAAAGGCTTTTTCAATTATCGGTGTTCTCATTAATTATCGTGGTGTTTCATATTGGTATGAGAACTAATCTAATTATATTTTTCATTTTTTTGTGTTTTTAATATTTTAGCATCGGTGGTGATGGAAATCTTGATTCAGTTATTACTTTACCAAGTATGTTTATTTCTTACAGATTTTTTTATAACGTTTGAATTAGATATCATGCGTAGATTCAATTCCAAACTCAATGGATTCTCGACTGGTACTGGTGATCACAATTCAAAAACTGCTAATTTTAATGTTGCTAAAGCAGGTGCTGTTTCAAAGTAAGATTTTCATTTTTATCGAAAAATATTTTTATTCTTTGCATTATAGCGATATGCCAGCACAAGCTGAACTATTAGTCAACAAAATGAAAACTGTCTTAGGTGCAAGATTTAATACAGAATGGAAATTAGTAACATTATTTATTGGTGGTAATGATCTTTGTGATTCTTGCAAAGCTAATGTACGTATTTATAGTTTCTAATGCTTAATGTATGATTTGTAATTTTCATTTTCTTTATATAGACAGTATATACTGCATCAAACTTTGTAAAAAATGTTAGACGAACACTTGAAATATTACGTGATAACATGCCACGTACTATTGTTAACTACATTACTGTTCTCAATGTTGCTGAACTTGAAGACTTACATGAAGGTGTTGTTTGTCAAAATATGCAATTGTATGTATTCAAAAATATTAAGATTTTCATATGATACACTCTTCTTCTTCTTTCTACAGGTTCTTATGTGATTGTGCTATTAACAAAGACACACGTGAAATAGTTCGTGCACATAATCTTGCATATCAAAAAGCAACTAATGAATTATTGCAAGATGATAGTTGGTACAATAGCAAAGATGATTTTACAATTGTTGTTCAACCATATATGGAACATATGAAAGTTCCTTCAACAGTAAAGAGATTATTTTTGCTTTTAACAAATTATTTTTAAATGAATTTTATATTATAGCCTGCTGGTTTAGCTGATTTCTCATATTTTGCTCCAGATTGTTTCCACTTCAGTCAAAAAGGTCATGAAGCCGCTGCTATTGAACTTTGGAATAATATGGTTTGTTTTTTTTAAGAGTATTTTTTCTAAGTATATATTTTATTTATATATAGATGGAACCAGTTGGAAAAAAGACACATTTATGGAATTTAGCAGATACACTTCATTGTCCACACAATGTAAGATAATTCTATTTTTTTCTTCTTCAGTTATATCTTTTACCATACTGTCTTGTAGGATCATGGATTCATCTACACAAATAAAAACAGCAACTTATAAATTCATTATGAGAGTTCTTCTTTCTTTTTTTTCTCTTCGAATAAATAAATAAATACGCAATGATACCATAATATTTTTGTATTATCATTTATTTTAAAAATAACTTAAAGTATGAAAGTTTCATGTTAAGATACGAATAAATAGTTTGATAGAAAAATGGTATCTAACACCTGTATCATTTTCACAAGTAGTAACGAACAATTTTAGATTTTTTCATGATATTCGAAAATTAGAATCATTATTTTTTCAATAGATAAAGAAGAAACCTTGCATTCAATGACTAATAGATAAGCATATATTTAATTTCGAAGTTGTGTTTTATTCATCAATATATACTATTACACTACAAGTAAAAAAGGATATTTACTTTTGATGATACAAAATAGTGCGATGTTTTATTTGGTACATATACGTTAGTAAATCATTCTAAAGTAGGCAATAGGCATAAAATCCATGTCACTGATAGTATTGTGTATTACTTTTTAATTCAATAATATTAAAAATATTTTTTTAAATTATATCCATATTGATACAATCTAACAACTGAAAACAGTACCTACGAATGAAATGTTAATTTAATTGTAATAACAAATAATTATTTGATGATTATTAAAAGATACTCGATTTTGTAAAAACCAAATGGTCTATAGAACTGGTCTCTCACTTTCTATTTTAATGTTATAATATATTAGTCATCTTTGATGTAAAATATTATGTTTTTATTTTGTATGTTGATATTGACTCCTTCGCATTCTCCCCCGAATATATTTATTGAAGATAATATTGGATGATTCTTCTACGTTACTTTTTAATTTCTTATCGCATGATAAACAGAATATTTACTTTTAGTAGGCAAAATTCGATACAAAGGTATCATATATATGACAGAAAGTAGTTGGAAACAAAAATACTGTTATCTATAACATAATCAAACAATAATCTTTTTTTCATACATCTCTCTCTCCTATCAGTGCACGAAACTTGTCCTATAAATATATCGATAGATGTCTTTTTGAAATCTTTATTAGCACTACAAATAAAAGTTCTAACGAAATTGTTATCTCTTTTTAACAAGATAAGAAAAAATATGTTAAAATATAGTTAAGTATATACGTTAAAAAGTTGATTGGTAACTATCCCCTTGAAGATCTACATATCCTTATCAATATTCATAATTCGATTAAAAGTGAATTTCATTTTTAATCATATATCTATTTTAATAAAGACATTAAATTCAAATTGTAATACGTATAGTTCATAAAAATATTATGCAACTTCTGATAAACATATTGAAGTATTATGTTGAAGGTTACAAAACTAGATACAAGATTTTTCCTTAATACAAAGAATATATATAAAAAAGGACATGTTCAGTATTTTTTCTTTATAATACCGTATTTCTTTGATTTTTCTACACAAAATTCTGCGTCTTATTAGTACTAGACATAGATGAGACTTCATTGACTGTATATATAGATTTAAAATCATTGATATGGCATCCAATTGCACAAGTTCAGTCGAAGAATTGATTACTTGTTCAATTTGTCACAAGCATTTTGACGATCCACGCCTGTTACCATGCTCACATATTTATTGTCGAAAATGTATGGAACAAATAGCTTCCGATAATGAAGATCAATTTGAATGTCCTTTACATAATGGAACTTTAGTTAACAAAAATAATATTAATACATTACCTACTAATCAAATTATGCTTGAGTTAATCCAACTATACGGTAAGTTAAATGCTCGTTCATTTCTTTTGCTATTTGAAATTAATTAATTCCGTGTATTCGTTTTCAATATAAGATTCTGTACAAAGTTCAAAACAATGTACAAACTGTGATTCTGCTATAGCTGAATTTGCATGTAATAAATGTGAAAACGAAAGATTTTGTTCAAAGTGCTATCAAGATATCCATGTGTTACGAATAATGCAAAAACATCAGCGAATCTCATTTCATGACCGACCATCTATAACGACTTCGTGCGAAACACATCCAGACGAAAAATTCAAATTTTGGTGTCGACAATGCAATGAAACTATCTGTTTGCACTGTATTCTACTTCAACACAAAGATCATGAGTATGTTTTGATGAAAGACGTCGTAGATGAAACAGAAACAAAGGTTAGAAATAAAATTCGTTTATTTTATTAAACACTAAATAATACATCATTTTTTTCTTGTGTTATCCAGATACGCAATAAACTGAAAAGTATTCAACTGTCATTAGAGTCCAGAATAAATCTAGTGCATGAACTAGTAACTGAAGTTGATAATGATATGGATGTAAATATCAAAATGGTTAAAGAGACAATGTCACAATTACGGCAGATGATTGATGATCGTGAGAAAACAATAGTTCAAGAAATTATCAATATCGAAACAAAACAAAAAAAACAAATTAAAAATTGTAAAGTTCCACTTATGAATCAAGTACAGTTTTTGAATTTGAGGAAGGCAATATTAGATATACTTCTCATTACCAAAGATCATACGAAATTATTAAAAGCTAAAGAAGAATTTGATAACTATCTGAAAAAAACAAATGAGACACTAGAATCGCTGCAAATACCTACAAGAACTATCTACCATTCGCAAGGACTAAACCAACTACAACAACTCAAGAATAAAATACTACAACATGGACAATATGTCGAATATAATAATCCCGAACTCGAGAGATTAATCAAGAATATTGGAATAAGTCAAAGATTTAATCTGAAAACTCAGCAACTAATTTATCTAGATATGAAGGCTGTAGCTGATGTACTACGAAAAACTACAGTAAGAAAAATTATCTTTCTTCGACAGAAACAATCAGTTGGTTGGTTTTAAATACGAGAATTCTCAGACGAGAAATATTAGCAGAAACTTCACACATAAACTATAAGTAAACCAATTTGTACATACAATACACGCGAATTGTTAACTTACTTTTCACTACAAGCTACGACTTTATTTGACAAAATAGAGAATAAAACATCTGAAACACTAGAAACGACTTTATTTATGGATAATTTCCTGTAAGAAACGAATTTAATTAGATGGCATACTGATCTCTATCTGAGATGAGTTTTCAATGTTAGCTAATAAGTTGAAAAGTAACAATAGAGTTTCTGGTATTTTCTTTTTCGTAGAAAAACACTCGTCCTCTTATTAATATCAGTTCGCTGTTCACTTTCATTTTGATTGTCTACCTATTCTGTTGAAGTTTTCATGCAGAGTTCTGCTTATACTAAATAATAATGTTCTCTTTCAATTATTTTGAAGCGAAAAAGTAATGAACTAGTCTTTTACAGAATATCCTTTTCTTCCAAGTAATTGATAATATTTATCATAATCTAATTCATTTCAGGACACGATAGATATTTAATTAGTGTGACATATAAGCTACATACTTATATCATTATATGCGTACATTACACTACAATAAAACTCGTGTATATAGTTTTTACGAATTCATTCTGTTTTGCATTAAGTTCAAAGTACTTGCTGAAAGTTCTCATATTTTGATTGTAATAATATTTCTGTCTTTAGAATCAACTCATTTACACCATGTTCTTTTCAGTCAGCTATTTCACTATTCTTCTCATTGAAATGTTCTTAACAATCGAAAAAAGTTATGATAACTAATGAAAATTAAAGTCTTCAAGTCTACCTCCTAATTTATTTTCTGACAAAGGATTTTGATTAATACTAAAGATTAGATCGATAGAGAAATATACCATAGTCAATTTTCAGCGTTTTGACCATTCGATACCCATATAGTTTCGTTTCAAAATTGGAAAAAATTACAGATATACCATTCGCAGTAGAACTGATATATTAAATTTCGATTTCACAACACACCGGCGACTCCTCTGTTCCCTTCATAACAGCATCGATGTAAAGCATACTATACGCATTAGAGATCCATTTTATTTCGCCGAACATATTTCAATGCAGACTAACGTAATAGTGCGACCACTCTATGTCTTTCTTTATCACAGTTTTCTCTACTCTTCTTGTTAAACAGACACTCACTTCCCTCTCCCTCGAAAAGAATCAAATTGGTAATAAAGGAGTCAAATATCTTGCTGATGCTCTTCAGAAAAACAAAGTGATATAGTAACTTTATTCTCATTCAAACATCTTCTGTTATTCTTTTGTGCAAAATAGACACTTACTCGCCTCTCCCTCAATCAGAGCAAAATTGGTGATGAAGGAATAAAACATCTTGCTGATGTTCTCCAGCAAAACACAGTAATATAGTAATTTTATTCTCATTCACACATCTACTATTCTTTCTTGCAAAAAAAGGCACTGACTATTCTCTTCCTCAACGAGAATCAAATTGGTGATCAAGGGGTCAAATATTTTGCTGATGCTCTTCAGGAAAACAAGGTAGCATAATAACTTTATTGACATTCACGCATCTGCTACTATTCTCTCCTATAAAACAGACACTCACTGTTCTTTCCCTCAACGAGAATCAAGTTGGTGATCAAGGAGTCAAATATCTTGCTGATGCTCTTCAGGGTAACATAGTAACTTTATTATCATTAACGCATCTACTGCTATTCTCTCCTACGAAACAGACACTCACTGAACTCTCCCTCGACCAGAATCAATTTGGTAATGAGGGAGTAAAATATCTTGCTGATGCTCTCCAACAAAGCAAAGTAATATAGTAACTATTCTCATTTATATACCTTCTGTCATTATTTTGTGCAAAACAGGCACTTGCTGTTCTCTCTCTCAACCAGAATCAAATAGGTGATCAAGAAGTAGAATATCTGGCTGATGCTCTCAAGCAAAACAAAGTAACATAGTAACTTTATTGTCATTTACGCATCTCCTGCTATTCTCTCGTGCAAAACAGACATTCATTGCTCTCTGCCTCAATCAGAATCAAATTACTGATCAAGGAGTAAAGTATCTTGCTGATGCTCTTCAGCAACAGAAGGTAACATAGTAACTTTATTCTCGTTTATACATCTGCTGTTATTCTTTCGTGCAAAACAGACACTCACTCATCTCTACCTCGATCAGAATCAAATCGGTGGTGAAGGAGTAAAATATCTTGCTGATGCTCTTCGGAAAAAAAAGTAATATAGTAACTTTATTCTGAATTACATATCTTCTGTCATTCTTTTGCGCAAAACAGACACTCACTTATCTCTCTCTCAAGGAGAATCAAATTGATGATGAAGGAGTAAAACATCTTGCTGATATTCTCCAGCAAAACACAGTAATATAATAATTTTATTTTCATTCATACATCTTTTGCTATTTTTTCTTGCAAAAAAGGCACTGACTCTTCTCTTCCTCAACCAGAACCAAATTGGTGATCAAGGAGTTAAATACCTTGCTCATGCTCTCCAGCAAAACACAGTAACAAAGGAACTTTATTCTCATTCATACATCTTTTGCTATTTTTTCTTGCAAAAAAGGCACTGACTCGTCTCCACCTAAACCAGAATCAAATTGGTGATCAAGGAGTCAAATACCTTGCTGATGCTCTCCAGCAAAACAAAGTAACAAAGGAACTTTATTCTCATTCATAGATATTCTAGCATTCTTTCTTGAAAAATAGACACTCACTTTTCTTTCCTTCGCTCAAAATCAAATTAGTGATCAAGGAGTCAAAGACCTCGCTGATGTTCTCCAGCAAAACAAAGTAATATAGTAGCTTTATTCTTATTTATACATCTTCTGTTATTCTTTTGTGCAAAACAGACACTCACATTTCTTTCCTTCCGTCAAAATCGAATTGGTGATCAAGGAGTCAAATATCTTGCTGATGCTCTTCAGAAAAACAAAGTAATATAGTAACTTTATTCTGAATCACACCTTCTGCCATTCTTTCTTGCTAAGCAGACACTCACTGATCTCTACCTTCAACATAATGACATTGGTGATCAAGGAATGAAACATCTTGTTGATTCTCTCAAAGAAAACAAAGTAATATACTTATTCCATTGTCCTTAGTATCTCTCCATTGATTGTTCTTTGATTATAGACTCTCACTAACTTATTCATACAGCAAAATCGAATTAGCCAAGAAGCAAAGCAACACGCAAGCAAAACATTGACAATAAATACTAAACTGACAGTTTATTGGTGATAGTTCAGCATTTTATCCAGATTAAATATACCCAAGATTGCACTTATATATCTAATAAACTATGTTATGCTACAATAATCAGTGATTTGAAAATAAATTCGATTCTAGGCTTCAAAACATATCGCGGATATACTGGGGTAGTCCTTTTTCGCCCTTGCTTTTTTTTCGGACATCGGAGAGAAAAATTCGTTCTGAATTCCAGTCGCTTTGAAACTTCGGAATGAAAAAGACCGGATGTTCGGAATGAAAACGACAGATGTACGTAAGAGCGAATGGTCGATTTTTGCAAGAAAATACATTTGATATTTCGGACATCCTGTATTTTTGCGTTGCGAAGATCAGTAAAACGATTTTATGTTCTTTTTCCGATTTCGAACATCCGGTTATTTGATCGGATGTCTGGGAGGGCGCGGACGAAAAAGGACAAACCTCTTTCTCACATGTATAGATTCCACTCCATCTACCATATATTTTGGATGTTTTATTCATTTCATTTCATGCTCTTCTTCGTTCTATACCATATACACTTTCTTTCTTCGTTTCATCTTTTATGATATAGCTTTACGCGTGATGATATGTGCTTATGGTAGGCTTCACTTATTGTTTTTGCATTCATATTCGTTCATTGTCTTGTTGTTTTTTTTATTCATATTCATTCGGTTCTTGGTTAATATACACGATGAGATACTCATCACACCATGATACATATTTAGTTATTCTTGAAATTTTAGTAAGATTTGAATTTTAATATAAAATCAAGTTTTATTTTCTTAAAATGTAGAGTGTTACTTCAACTGATAGTGATGTTTGCAAAATTTTTGCTAAAAATGACGCTGATGATTCTCAAGCATTAGTTAAGTTAACAGTAGATACCGAAGATTCACCACCGTAAGATAATCATTTGTATGCTAATAGATATTTGAAGTATTTCTCAAATATATATATGGAGGAAACAGGGTCTCTAATTAAGGGGAGGGGGGGCTGGGGGGTCTAGCCCTCCGCAAAATTCGAAAAGCTGTCTGTCTTTCTGCCAAGTTTTAAAAAACTTTCTGCCAAAATTTTTAAAGTTTTGCTGAAAACTTGGTCAGAAACCTGGTTTTTATGCTATTTTCGCCATTTTTCCACCAGAAACTCCAATAAAAACACTTTTTTCGAGCAAAATTCCGCAGAAAGTGTATAGCTTAAGTATTTTCTACATTATATGCGTCAGAAAGCTATATGACGGCACTTTCTGCCAAAACTTCTGGACTTTCTGCCAAATTTGATCCCCCCGCACTTTTGAAAACAATTGGGAACCCTGGTAGGAAAGATGAAGAAGAGAAAAAACCTGAACCAGCACAAGCAGTTGATAATAAAATGACAGCACCTATTTTTGTTGATAAACCAAAAGCAGTGGTATGTTGTTGAAATATTAGTTATTTTTTCTATATTTGCGCCTTTATATTTTCTAGACAGCTAATGGTGGTGATAAAGTACAAGTAGAGTGTTAATTTACTGGTCAACCAGCACCTAAAACTATATAGTCTTTTAATAAAAATAAATTAAACCATCATCTGTATGTTTAATTTATTTTCTAATTAATTGAAGTAATTAAAGCTATAAGCCATCAATATTCTTGAAGTTTTCTAAGTAAAATATATGTTAGATAACTAAAAATATTAGTTAGTAATCTCTACTGATTCCCTATCGTCGTCATCGTCTAAGTATCGCTAAAGGCATGAATTATTAATATCAGTATTTTTGAGTTTACTTCGACACATAATAGCATGTTAAAATCTGCTGTGAATATACCAGATGTATGCAATAGATATATTTGTCAGTTAAATAAATGGGTTAAAGACATAATGGCTAAGATGTAGAAGTAAATATGAGAAATAATATCTTTGACCTTGAAAAGTATAACAGAAACTGTTATATTATATATATATTTGTATATATATATGTTACATATTTCAGTCCCAAAGAGTCTATATTAACAAGCATGTTTTGTTTTTCTGTTAAATCTAAAAGAGTTATTCGGTACACATTTGTTGTTCTCAAGAGATAATATTAAAAAAGACACCTAATGAGTTTGTTTAAATAATTGATTGAAAATAAAATTACAATAAGATTTTTATAATTTTTGTTTAGTCGTGATTGGACTGAAGTTGCAGAAGTACCAGCACGTGAACATTCATATACTGTTTCAAATTTGAAAGAAGGTGATGATATTTCACTTCGTATTCGAGCTGTTATTGCAATTGGTCCTAGTGAACCAAGTTGACCAACAGATGCAATTACTGTTCTAGATCAACCAGGTATATTATTTATCTGAATAAAATTAGAAAATAACTATACGTACTTCTTACAATTTACTAATCATTAATTTATTTATTTTTCTTATATAGACAAACCATTATTTCTTGATTTACATGGTATTAAAGATATAACAGTAAAAGCTGGTGAAGATTTTGAATTACATATATTATATTAAACTACACCAAAAGCAACAGCTCAATGGTTAATTGATGATAAAGATTTAGCTCCTGATGATCGTGTGTTTTATGGCATGATATATCTCTTGCCGTAAAGAATGCTGATTCTCTTTCATTTCCTCATGTACTAATGATATCGTTGAGTATTTAAGGAGTGCATAATGTGAAGAGAAAGATGATTCTTGTTTTATGAAAGAAGACGAATAAAGAACGAAGAGAAGCGATAACCGTGTGAGGATGTTAAAGTAAGAAGAGAAGCACAAAAAGAAAATCAAGCAAACAAACTTTCTTTCTTTTAGACATTAGATAATATTATCACCTTACTTAATCGTAAAACCGAACGAGGAGATGCTGGTATATATAAATTAGTATTAAAAAATAGTGAAGGTACAAATCAAGTGCAATTTCGTGTTAATGTTTTTTCAATACCAACAAAACCTGAAGGTCCACTTGAAGCAACAAATGTAACTGCTGAAGGATATACACTTAATTGGAAACCATTAGTAAATCAAATTTAGAAAAAGAATTTCAGTTATATTCTGTTTTGTTTTCTTGTATTATAGAAAGATAATGGTGGTAATGATAACATGTGATGTTAAAGGTTTAGAAGATGGAAAAAATTATGAATTTCGTGTTACAGCAAAAAATGAAGTTGAAAAAGGAACACCATCTGATGCAACTAAACCAACTAAAGTATATAGAAATGAAGCTTTTCAATATTTCTAAATAAGATTTTTTATTTTATTAGGTTAAAGATCCAAATACATCTACTCCACCAGAGTTTCTTAAAAAAATTAAAAGATGCCGAAGGTAATGAAGATAAAACAATTACATTAGAATGTGAAGTTTGTTAGGTGCTATTATCATCTTACGTCATATATGTATAGTTTCTTTCATTCTGTTGTTACGTATACATATATCATATATAGTATGATTCATCATCTTCTTCTATATGTGTGCTCTCGTTCTCTTCTATATCGTTCATAGATTTTTCCTTTCGTTATGTTACATGGATTTCTCCTCTCCTATCGTTTACATATGTGATGCTATATGTTATGGAACTTTTCCTCATCTTGTTCCCTTGATCTCATGTTGGACATTTCCCTAACAGGGTGTTTCGTCATCCTATATATAGCGTGTGCTTTTCTACGAATAAGCAGAGAGAATTATCATCTTCACATTTCATCCTCACAAGTTACTAGAACACCTAAACCTGATGTTGAATGGTTTGTTTCTTTTTTTTCCGTTAATTAGTTATATCATACTATTTCTTTATAAAATAATTAATTAGATTCAAAGGCACTGAAGAAATCTCTCAAGGTGCTAAATATACTATAACACCTGATGGTGATAAATATATTTTGGTTATTAATAATGCTACACCAGATGATGTTGATGAATATAGTATTAAAGCACGTAATAAAGGTGGTTCAAGAATATGTCATTGTAATATTAATGTTCGATGTAAGTTTAAATCTATAAATAAAAATAAATTCTTAATATACATGCATATATATTTGTTTCTAGCACCACCAAGATTTCGTTTACCACCGAAATATCAAGACGTTCTTGTTTATGATAAGGGTATGGGTGGTGTGGGTTAAAATAAAGAGAGAACACCCACACCCACTCCCACACCCAAGAGAATCACTGACAAACTCGTATGAATATTTCTATAATATCCTTTTTCATACTTTATAATGAATCTTCTAGGTTACAGTGCAGTGATTTATGAATATAGGAAGTTATGTTACCGTTTCAAAGACATTCATAAATTGTTTTCGTTTGTTTAAAATAATTTCTTTTCAATTTTTTCGAACTGAATTTACAAAAAGTCTGACAGAAGTTACAATCTTCGTTGCACTCTTCAAAGTCGAAGCTTTAGAGAACGATCTAGTGTGATAATGTTTCTTTTCTATTTTCAGAACACTTTTTCAAAGCTTTCATTAAAAAAATACCCGACTATATGGCATCTTCTTTAAATTCTCCTTTGATCGTAAAAATACCAATGAATAATACCATGATTGAACAAGCATTTAGTTTGCTAAAAAGTCGTCGTGTTAGCCGAAGTGAAGAACATTTTCTTATTTCAACTGAAACAATTGATCATTCGGATATGGGCGAATATGTTCTATTGCTACTCGAACAATATAAAGATGCTGATGAAGAAGTTAAAGGCTATATTAAACGACTGAAGATTAATAATGAAGGACAACAATTTGCAAAAGCAATCATTATTGGTACAAAAAATCAGTTTTCGGTTTCTATTATTGCAACAAGTCGGCAAAAAACTGACACAAGCGGTGTGCACAAGATTTTAATTGCGACAACCAAAAAAGTTGTTGAAATGTCTGCTTCATGGAATTTTTTTACAAAATGGTTCGGTATCAAATCAGAAGAACAAAAAGAACTGGAACACATTGTAAGCAAATTAAATGATGAGGATAACAAGAAATGCCTCGAAGCCATGGCGATATATGTATTGGGTGATAAAATTCGAACATTCATTGGAAGTGATGTGGATGTGCAATTTATTCAACAATAGTTTGAATGCTGCTTCAACTTTGACTATTTGTTTATCTTTACTATTAAAAGAATAATGCAATAATTTTCTACTAGTGTCAACAGATGATACTTCTTTGTGGTCTTCTCTCCTATGAATCCTTTCTTTCATCGTAACATTTTGAAAAATAAACTATCAATGGACATCATGCTTCTACTATCATTAACATCCGACCACTTGAAATAGATGATTCCTTTACGTGAAAAATATCCGATCCTATATGGAAAAACCATTTATCAGCAATGTGACTTCACAAAATTGAAACACGCATATCTCAGGATGGTAAACCTTTCTGTAGCTAGTATTTATATGCTGTATATATGTCAAGTTACCCTAGATGTTCTAAAAGAATCAGCCGTAAAGACCTTTGTTGAGAGAAGTTATCATTTAAAAACTAGCGTTAGCGACGTGACTTAAAAAAGTACATCGATTTTCACTTTTTGCGTTTTAGTTTAAAAAACACCGAATTAAGAACAGCATTTTTGGAAACTAAATAGTACAGTCTGTAGACAATTCAAAGGGCTCTAAAATCGGTATTCAAAGTGTTTTCGGAGCATGCACAGATTTTTTTAAAAACTCGACTTATTTCTTGTTAGCGATGTGACGTAATACGAGTACACAAAAGAGACGCTGCTCTTGTAACTGAGTGAGAATCATGAGAGCAATTCAAAAAGATACCGATTATTGCTCGGAACCTTAAGATGATAATAAGGCAAACATTTTTGTTTTGGCATTTGATGGGGGCCCTAGGGAACTCATTTTTACGAGAAAATTTTTTAGAGTTCGATCTTGCTGATACTTTTACCATAGATGTAGCTCGTGCCCTAGAGTCTATCGTAAAATTTTCAGATTTTTTCTTCCTAGTTCTGCCATTTACATAAAAAATTACGTTCTGTTTCAGAAAAAAACAAATTTTCTGATGAAACCGATCAATTTCAAAAACAAAAAGTATACGTACCATCCGATTCATGTCGACACCGCGCATCTATTTATATGAGATAAATATGGGTTTCGATGATGGTATGTGATGGGTATAATACTCATACCCACCCCCTCATCCACGGCACACCCACCCTCAGGTTTTAATAGAAAATATCAAATGGATCGCCTCTTTATTTTATATTCGTATTGTCTCAACGCTTTTACTGATCTGTTAGATAGTGACGTGTTTTCCTTCTCTCTTTTGTTATTCTTGGTGTTTTCCCTTATGATATATGTGATGGACTTTTCCTCTCCTGTTATATATATATATATATATATATATGAGGGATTTTTCCTTTCGTTCTCTTCTTCTTTCTTCACATATACGATCATTCTCTTTTCTCTTACCAAGATCTCACATGGGATATTCCCTTTTCGCTTGTCATCACCTAGGGAAGATTCCATGTGTAGATAGTTTGTCTTTGTTCACTGTCATCTATATAAACCAACTGATTTTCAATAAACGGGATCGACTGTGGGAGTCAGGATCATCTACACACTTCACATTTCATTAGAGGATACACACCTCACATGATCTTAAGACTTATCTGATATTATTTTATTCCTTTTCAATTTCTAGATCAGTTTTTCAAAGTTTTCATCTAAAAAACATTTAACACTATGTCATCTCCTGTTGATCAACCTTTGGTCATAATAATACCAGTAAATAATTATATGGCTCAAAGAGCATTTGATATGCTAAAAAGTCGTCTTGTTCGTCGAAATGAAGAACAATTTCGAATTTCAACAAACACCTTTCATCATTCGGATGTCGACAGACATATTCAATTGTTACTCGAACAATATGCAGATGCCGATGACGAAGTTAAAGCCTATATTACACGATTAAAATTTAATAATGAAGGGCAACAATTTGCGAAAGCAATCGTTATTGGTACAAAAAGTCGATTTTCCGTTTCTGTTATTGCTACAAGTCGACGAAGACGGGACGCAACCGATGAACACAAAATTTTAATTGCTACAATGACAAAAACAGTTGAAATGTCCTCATCATCATCAACTCTGTTCTCTCCACTATTTCCACTAAATCTGGCAATTCGACTCTTATTTCCATGGACTGTGTTCGGTAGATTGCTTGGTACTGAAATAAATAATCCATTGAAAGATCTTTTAAGACAATTAAACGATGAAGACAATAAGAAATGTCTCGAAGCATTGGCTTTTCATTTATTAGGCGATAAAATTCGGGCATCACTTGGTAATGATGTAGAAGTACGATTTGTTGAACAATAAAAGATATAGCCTTGACAATATTGGCACTCCTTCAGCATAAAAAATAATGTATGACCCTAGATTATGCTTTATGTACAACGTCCATAGTGAACTTAATTGAAGCTATAAACCAACGATTTCCAGAACTAAGCATGATGAATAGTAGTCGATAATTACCCCTTCTCTTGTATAATGTCTTATATATGTTTTGCTAGGTATATCGGCAAAATCATGCAGGGTGTGGGTGTGAGCATGAGTAAAATATAATACTCATATCTGTATCTACCCACACCCTTGTCCACTTATACTACTCATAGATGATAATGGTGTTGTTAATTTTCAAGCTGATGACCTATATGGCGAATATCATGAGCAAGTTGTGTTGGATCAGTATGCCAGCAAATAGCCATTATTAATTTATTTAATGATGTAGAACAATTATTGATTATTCTAGCTTATGATAAATCACTTCAATAATCAAAAGTCTGTGAGTCTCTTTCAAAATTAGCAATGCCGAAAGACTCACTGACACTACAAATTTATACTGTCATATTTTTAATTCAACAATTAACCCTTTCAGTCCCAAATTATTTTTTACTGGATTAAATTCAAGTAAGCTGTAAAATTCGCTTATTCCAGACAAAGAAATACATTTTATCAATGTTGAGGGGTGGGTATGACTGCTGAAAAGTATAACTGTTCTCACCACACACCCACACCCTAAGAAAAGAAATGAAGAAGAAAAACTACATTAAAAGAACGTAATATGTATCAAAATGATATTTTATCGAAGAAAGAATGAATGGTATCACACATAGAGAAAAAAAGGATAAATACAAGGCGACGACTGCAACGTAGATACTTTAAAAAAGTCCTAAAACACTCCTTATTACTTTCTTTCGAGAGATTTCATACTAATTTTTATAAATTATGCCATGGAAAATAATAATGAAACATGTGTTGCTTTTTTTATACCAGGGGACTGAAAGGGTTAACAAAGAATTACATTGACTTTAATTGATATCCTAAAACATCTTCGTTTCGTATCATCTATGCAAATAGTTGCATTGATAGCTGAAAGTGAAATAGAAGAACACATTGAATAAGTGAAGATTTTAGTTTTTTATATTGCATAAAACAATACATATACTAATCAATATGATATTATAGTGGCTAATTTACTAGTCAATAGTAATATATACATATTGTAGCATCTGTTCCAAAAGCGCCAAAATCACCTTATGGCAATTTTTCGATGACTATGTCACTAACGTTCTATATATATTATTGCATAAAATATCTGTACACATTTGTACATGATACATCAGTCAAATATAATGAAAATAAATTAACAAAATGAATTTAATCAGAATAAGATATTTTAAATAATTTTTATTAAAAACTTCTAGCTATTTTTTGTTACTTGATATTTCGTAATAGTAACTATGAAACTTATCGAATAGTAATGAATAAAATAAACAAGATGGTTGAACCAATCTATAAATGTGACGATAACTGAACATCTAAATATTGAACTATCATTATTTCAATCTTTATTGAATCCAGATAATTTTTACGACTATATTTTTTTCGACTCAGAGTGTAATTTCGAATAATAATAAAAATAATTTTATTTGAAAAGGAAACAATCAAATAAAGTACCTTTTGTAATATTTTTTAATATATCTAGATGTCACATGATTTAACAAAATAATTTCGAATAAATCTATGATTTAAAACAATAATATCATGATAAATAAATTTCTTTTTCCTTTATTATCGGATTATTTGAAATTACAAAAATAGTCGTCTGTTATCATTTATTATATGTATGAGAAAAATTAGCATCTGGATTTTTCAACAATAAAACCTGTTATAGACAATAGAATCCTGTGATACAAAAAAAAGTTTTCATCCAAATACAACAAGGAAAATCATGCACTGCTTAACGATCCTTTGCTCAGTAGTAATTGTTCTATTATCATTGAGCAATGTTTATTGTGACAAGAAAACAGACATCGATGTTCTTCAACAATTAGTTGATCATATGAGTGAAGGTGGCAAACAAAAAATTATCGAATCACTTTCTCAAAATTCAACTTCAGGTCGACAAGATAATACACATTGGTGTTGTAATATTAACCCTGGTACTTTCTTCTATTCTATTTCTATAGAATTATAATTCATCTAATTGTCTTTCAGGTACTGAAGCATTAACAAGAACTCGTCAAACGACTTATGCTGTTCAACGCCATTCACGTACTAAATGCGGTTACAGTGACTGTGGTTTATTTGGCTGGTCAAGTTGCACAAAATGGTGTGATAATTATTGGACAGAACTACAATATGGTGTTGAAACATACCTAGCCTATCAAGATCGTATTTGCCCAGCAGCAAATCTTGTTTGTTGTGCTGGTTATATCACTGTTATTAATCATTGTTTTACTTATGCAGAAGTTATGAATAACAAAGATATTTTAGAGATTATTGTTGCTATGGGTATTCCTATTAATCCTACAATGGGTTAAAAGAAAAAATTTTTGAAAAATTTTAATAAAAATAAACTAACGCCATCTATTGAAAATAAATTCTATTTGCTAATTTTCTTACCAGTATATGAAGAAGAACAAAGAGCTTTCTTTTTTTTTGTATTTTTACATATTGCCATTTGTTTTGTGCATATCGATAATGGCAACTCGAACATCCACACGATCAACAAAAGCTGTCAAATTTGTTGATTCAACGAATGATGATGATGAACATGAATTTGATACTTCTGAAGCACCGATAATTAAAGTTGAACCAAAAAAAGCTAAACCTCGTGGTCGTCCACGACGAAATCGATCATCAAATGATGATGATGAAGAGTGGGATGCAGGGAATGAACATATTGAAAATGATGATGAGGAAGATGAAGAAGTGAGTGAAGGAGATGAAGATGTAACAAAAAAATTCAAAACAAATCCTGTCAATCGTTCCATTGATTCTGTTTATGATTTTGGGTAAGAGAATAAAGAGTTTTTTTTGTTATTTGATAAACCTTTCCTTTTTTCATTAAAGAGAAATGAGTGGTACGGCTAGAAAATGGACAAAAACAACGACACAAACACCACAACGTAATAGTACTGTTAGTGATACAGGAAAATCTATGGAAAAACTAATGTGTTCATACTGGTATAATAGAATTTACATTCAAGAATCTTTGAAATCTATTCTAAATTTAGTAATTACACAACAACAAAAAAATATCTACTTCAAAGACATCTTAAATCTCATTCAACTGAACGACCACATAAATGTATGTAAATATAAATATAAATAAATAACTGATTTTTGTTTTTCATTTACTTAAGGTGCTTATTGTGATCGATCATTTAAAACAACTATTCAATTAACTAATCATGTGAATACACATTTAGGTGTTAAACCATTTCAAGTAAAAATCTTCGATTAAAAATAAAATTTTCTAAATAGATTTTGTTTTTTCTAGTGCAAATTCTGTTCATTTTCTTTTACAACTAGTGGAGAACTTATCCGACATGTTCGATACAAGTAATAAAAAGCAATACTATTTCTTTTTAGTATTATTATTGTTCTCTATTTTTTTTACAGACATACACTAGAAAAACCACATCGATGTGAAGAATGTGGTTATGCTACTGTTGAATTAAGTAAATTAAGACGGCATATTCGTACACATACTGGAGTATGTTTTTTATTTGTAATAATATTAAAGAAATATATTGTCTATATATAAATATAGGAAAAACCGTATGCATGTCCACACTGTTCATATTGTAGTCCAGATACATTTAAACTTAAACGGCATTTACGTGTACATACTGGTAAGATCAAAAAATCAAGAATTTATTAATTTCGAATGATTTTTATTTACTAGGCGAGCGTCCGTATCAATGTACAATTTGTAATTTTCGTTTTACGCAAAGCAATAGGTAAGATTATTGATTATTTTATAAAAATTTTCAAAGTTAGAAAATGATGTTGTCTTAATTTATTCAAATAGATTTACCTAATTAAAATATATGATTATCACGTATAATTTCTTTTAGCTTAAAAGCACATATGTTAACTCATCAAGCTGAAAAACCATCATTTCCTTGTTCATATTGTCCATCTGTAATGGCAAGAAAATCTGATCTTCGTTATCATATCGGTAAACAACATGCTCGTCAATCCGAACCTTTATCATGTAATAAATGTGACGAAGATTTTCCTGATAAGTATGTTATCTCTTATATTATTTAATAAAATAAACTGTTTTTGTTTTATTTAAGATATTCATTACGTATGCATGGTAAAACTCATAAAGGTCAAACAATTCATTCGTGTAATCATTGTGAATTCTCTGCTAATACAAGTCAACAATTAGAAGATCATATGAATAAACATCGTGGTACACGTCCATTTCAATGTAGTGAATGTGGTTTGATGTTTGCAGCACGTGCTGATTTACGTGCTCATGTTACACGTACACATCGAAATGCTGCAACACCAACAACAACAACAACAACAGCAGCGACATTATCAGCAGCAATGAATTCTCCAATAGCAATGAATCGTCGTCCACAACGACGTGCTGCATCTTTACAACATCGTTATATAGGTGTATCATCAGGTGCAGAAGATGAAGAACATCAAGAAGATGATTACCGTTGTCCAATATGCCATCGACAATTTACATCAGCACGTTTACTTGATCGACATACATATGCTGTACATGAACCTAAACAAGATTCGTATGATAATCGTGATTATCAAACAAATGAAATTGAAGATGAAGATGATGTACGTGATTATGCTGATGATGAACTTGAAGAAAAACCAAAAGCAAATATAAATATTAAAAATGAAATGCATGCAAATCAATTAAAACTTGAAGATGGTATAACAGATGATGAACAAGGATTAGATGAAGAAGAACTAGATTTAGCACCTATTGTTGAAGATATTATTGATGGTGATGATGATTTTGAACAAATACCAACAATTAAATCGATATC